CTCAGCCAGCTCTGTGGATGGGCACTGACCTCATCCCCTCTCAACACGAAGACAGACACTGAGGCACCCAGAGATTAAATCATTTGCGGAGGTTGTCTGTTCTGTTCACCTGCGGCCATCTCCAAACGGCCCCAGGAACCCCAAAAGGGCCCCCCAAACGACCCTCCCCGCTGTCCTGGGAAAGCCCCATTCCAGGGCTAAAGGAAATGAGGTCTGTGACCCGCTCCCAGGAAAACCGGACGACGCAGAGAAACTTCCATGCCCTGTGGCCACTGACCGAGTGCAGGGAGCCCCGGAGAGAAGGGTGCCCCAGCCTCTCGCCCTCCCTCCCTCCCCATCTCTCTCCCTCTTACACAACACTCCTCACTGCCTTCTGCGGCTCCCTGCCTGACCCCCCCCCCCAAGGCCCAGGGCCACTGTGTTCTAGATGCCCCCTCCCTAAGCAGAATCCGTCCGTCCACCTGATTTCTGTTTCTCTCTCTCAACCTTGGCTTTGCTCTCAGTCTGTTCCTGCCTCTCTCCGTGTGTGAACCAATTCTCCCGCAATCGGAATGTCTCTTGAAGTCTTCCTCTGTGTCTCTGACTCCAGGTGTCTCTGGGTTCTGATGACCAAATGTCCTCGGGCCCTTCTCTGAGGAGGGGAGGGTGTCCATGTGTCCCGGGCAACTGCACCTCCCTGCTCTACGTGCCGAGGCCAGGCTGCCCGGCACCCCGCACCCCACGCGGCTCTGACTGCCCCGGGGACCTTTCGTGCAGGCAGCAGGCCCAGGAGAGCCCTGTGCCTTCCATGCCCGCCCACGCACAGACCTCTCCAGGGTCCCCGTGCCAGCAGAGTTACAACCCGGCTGGGACAAAAGGACCCGGCCAGACCGCGGGGGATGCATGCGCGGAAGGAGGGCGTCACCTCCGTTTTCTCAGCCAGCCTGGGCTGCGGCCGGCCGAGCCCTCAGGCTGGTGAAGCCCCTTCCCCCATCCCTCCCTTCCAGGCCGTGCCGCTGCTGGGCCCATTTTGTCGTCTCCCTAAAAATAACACTTGTCTTCACCATTGCCGACGCCCCGAGTGGGGACGCACAGAGCACCAGCAGCTGTGGTGGAGGCCGACAGGCAGGCACGTTCTGAGGGCTCTCTGGCGGCTTTCTGGGAGCAGACGGGGCTGCTTTGGATTAAGGAGCACATCTGAGCACTGTCTCCCTTCGTCTCCCCACCTGGCCTGGCCCCCCAGTGCCTCAACCTCATTCTTCTGACGCCCCCTTCCCCACTGGCTGTGCTGCGTGGTGTCTCAGCACTCCCTAAATCCTGAGAAAATACAAAATACCTGGCCCTTGAAATTTAATTTATATTCTTCTCTGGGTTGTCTGTCTGTCTGTCTGTCTGTCTGGTTTTGGAAACTCACACAGAATTCATTTGCGTCCTCCCACCGCACTGCCCCTCCCGTCTCAGGAGGACCGAGCTCTGCCGGGAGCCAAAGCCCCTTCCTCTCTGCTGCACCGTCTGGCTTCGGTCTGCCCCCTTCCGTGTGGGTCCTCTGTTGGAAAACTAAGCGTGGGAGGCACCCCGTCCCCCTCCCGCGGGCGCACACACGCACGCACGCACGCACGCGTGGGAAGGAGCGTCTTCGCCCTGTCTTCCTGAGCACGGCTGCCCAGCAGCCAGGGAGGCCTCTGTGGGGAGACCAGAGCTGCCGGCAGGCCAGGCATCCGGAACAGAAGCCCCAGGACGCTCCGCGACCCGGGAGCGGGCTCTGCTTCCGGGCGCAGCCTGCACTGCTGATGCCAGAAAACCCCCAACAATCTCGCAGGGAACAGAGCCGCCAATTCCTGGGCGTCAGTGTTGTCAAATACCTCACCGAGGGACGTCATGGAAAACGCGCTCTGGGCTCAAGTGCCCACACTGGGGCAAGCTCAAGGCTGTGGCCCCAAGCCTCAGACTGTTTCCTTCTTCTTCTTCTCTTGACCAAAACGTGAGCGTCGGGGAGCGCTCTGTGCGTCCCAACTCGGGGAAAACTACCCGCCAGGGCTGGGTGTGCCGACCCTCCCCACGGCTGCTCCCCCCCCCCACCCCGCACGGCCCTGGTGGTCCCCGTGGGTGGGGCTCCCAGGCCCCAGCTGAGTGGGGGCCGGAGGGCACTGCCACTCTCTCCTCCTCGCCTTGGGGTCACCGAGAAGAGAACGACGCGTCTCGGAGGCGGAGGCGGGGCCCAGAATCAGGCTCGCTGCTCACCTCAGAGCAACACAGGGCGCTGGCGGGGTTGGGAGTTTGGACGCGCAGAGGTGGGAACAGGTAGGGGAGAGCACCCCAGAATGAGGCGAGCACTGCGATCAGATCAGCTTTCCCGGTGGCCCCAGCACGCCCGGGGAACTGGGGCTCCCGTGATTCAGGGCCCCCCTTCCAGGGCGCCTTCCACACGGCCCTGAGCCCACAGCCTCTCCGTGACCAACACAGAGGCACCTTGTCCCCACACCTCCGTCCGCCCACCCTTGCCAGGACGACGGCACAGAAAGGTCACTCTGTGGTCAGAAGAATAACGCAAGAGGGTCACTTCCCTCCCCTGGGACCTGAGCCGAAAAGAGACTCCCCTTCCAGAGTTACGGCTTTGCTTTGTGAGCTAGCGACTGGCCCGGGGAACACAGGCCTCGACGGTGCTGGTGGTGTGGTCACTGCAGCTTCGTTCTGCGCGTGAGCTCTCGCTCGGACCCCGCCACGTCCTTCCGTTCATGCGGCCTGGGTCTCCCGGGCACGTGCCACACCAACCCCTCTCCCACGATGGTCTGGACACGTTTTACGTGTTCGTGTCCATGACCCATGAGACCATACACACACCCCCCGCAGCAGTCTGTGAAATTCTGTATCGCAGGGTCCAGAGAGCCTACAAAATTCCGTGTCTGGAACCCATTGGATTGTGTGCATGCCCCGGACTGGTGTGTGTGTGTGTGTGTGTGTGTGTGTGTGTGTGTAATGTGCTGCGTCATACACATCTTGTAATCGTCTGTATGCGGAACAGCTCACGGTCGAATACTCTATGCGCGTAACGAGCGCTGTTGACTGAATCTTACGGCCCTCCTTACACAGGGAGCTACTGCACCACGCTCACATCCTGTGACGTTGAGACGGGAAACAAGTTACATGCGCAGCCCTCACCCTGTTCTGTGCACACAGACCTTATGCCATACACCTGCCTGGCACCATAGTGCCCACAGGACACGTCTCCGTGGGCCTCCTCTTACCCTACTCCCTCTCTATGTCTCGAGGATTTTTTTTTCCCTTTTTCAGTAAACTCTGTGCCCAACATGGGGCTCCAACTCGCGACCCCGAGATCAAGAGCCACGTACTCCACCGGCTGAGGCAGCCAGATGCCCCTAATTCCTGTGGTTTTTTTTGCCTCCTGGACAATATCCTGCATATTGGCACGCTACGTGTGCACATCCAGCATCTGCAGAGAAATAGCCCATGTATTTTGGGCACAAATCATCCTATAAGGCAGGGAAGGGGGGGTGACTCTCTCCTGACCCTCACATTTCTCCCCACAGTCCCCAACCCCAGGGCCACATTTTCACCCACATACCCCACCACTGCCCCCTCGGGTCTCCCTACTGACTCTCCCAGGCCAGGCAGCTTTCCTGACTGCCCAGGGTCCACCTCGGGCCTGGGGTCCAGCCTGCCCTACCTTGTGTCGCCTTTGGACATCATCCGGAAGGGGTTCGAGGGAGCAGGGATGAGGGAGGCTCGGGGGCCCCACGCTAATGCAGAGCAGGGGTAGTGGGGGACAGGGCGGCTGCCCTCTCGGTGGGTGGTCGGCTGCCGCCTTCGCCCCTACCCCCTCCTGCTCAGCAGGCCCGGCACAATCCGAGATGGATCTGGTTCCCTGCTCGGGTTACGGCGCACTCTCACCCCCCGGGCGGCTTCACTTAGCAATTAGCCAGTAAAAATACCTTGGGCTTGGGGAGTGGGACACAGCACAGGCGTGTCTGTTTTTACACTCCCCCCCCCCAATTTAGGATTCCTGGGGCCAAAGCTGGGGTGCAGATTTGATTTGGGATGGAGGGGGTGTCTTTCTGGATCTTTAAGCTAACTAAGAGCAAAATGCTGCACTCACCCCTGTCTGTATTTCCTCCCCCTGTCCCACGGGCCCTGGGGGTTCTGTTTCTGTCTCTATGACAGCCTATGTCTATGACTGCCCAGTGCACACCACAGCCCTGAGAAATAGCGGCCATTATTTGTACCCCTTTTTAGATGAAAAACCTACACCTCATGATGATTACAATAATACTGTTTCACATTTTAAAACGATCTGCAACATACTTGAACGTTGCTAAGAAAGTAGGTCTTAAATGCTCTCACCACACAAAAGAAATGGTAACTATGTGACAGAATAGAGGCCGCCGCAACACATAAATGTATCAAATCAACACATTGTACACTTTAACTTTACACAATGTTATGTGTCAGTTACAGCTCAATAAAGCCGTTAAAAACCAACTGATCCACCAACAACCACCTCCCCCCAAAAGAAACTAAGGCATAAATAGTTTAGGCAACATCCCTACATGGTGAATGCTGGATTGGAATGTGGCCCACGATCATCCCCGGTGTACAGGCAGAGAGAGGGTCTCTCTGCCTTTCCCGCTGCAGACCCTTGCCCTGTGGCCTGGGGCTTAATTCCTGGTTCTGTGGTCAGACCTGGATTCGCAGCTGGGCTCTGCAGGATGACCCAGGACTCAGAATAACCTGACGGTGGGGGGGGGGGACCTCTCTAAAGGGAGGGATAACGTGAAGCTGGTAGCGGCTTCTGTGAAGGTTAAACAGGTATCTTTGAGGCATTTAAGCTGGGTCCTGGGTTCATGGGTGGGAGGTGGTGGGTTCATGGATAGGCTCCAGGTGTTTGGTGGGACCTTGAACATCATTCTATGAATGTCACTGGTATGTGCCTTTTGGAGCGGGGGAGGGTGGATAGGATACAGTTTTCAATAGTTTGTCAAAGGGATTCACAGCCCTTAGAAAGGTTAAGAACATCCAAGGGTGTTTATAAGGTTAGGATCAGCACCTGGAGAGAGCCAGCGGTCGAGAAGTCCTGATGTTATCACCGTGTCGGTGACAGCGGCTACTCTCTTGTCATCACCAGTTTCCCAACTGGTCCCCGTGCCTGTGCGCCTGGGAAGCAGGGGCCGTGGGGCCACAGAAGCATTTCTAAATTCATTCTCTCCACTCTCGGCCTGCACTGAGGCGGCTGCGGGAGGGTCAAATGCAGTGATGCTCTGTCTTGGGTGGTAGACAGAAAAGAGGGAGAGGTGTTCTCCTGGCAGTGCTGGCTGATCCAGGCCAGGGCCGTAGTGGGCCTCAGTTTCCCCACCCCAAAGCGCAAGGTCAAGCGAGGCTTCTCCCGCCAACGCCAACGTAAGAGTTGAGAGGCTAGTCTCCGGGGCATACAGAAAAGCCTTCCTTGCTATGGATGTGGTTTTCCCTACAACTGGGGGGTCCCCTCCAAATTACAGAGCTGGGGGCTCATTTCATCTGCCCTCTGTCTCACACCCCCACCTTCGCCTCCCTCCTGGGTGGAGATTAGGGAGAGCCTCCATCTGCAACATTCCTGAGGATCCCGCCACCGCCACCGGCCCCCTCTCCCTGGGCCAGGTAACCGCTGTGCTTTCCCTGCAGAGTCCAGTTTGCTGTCAGAGTCTGAGGGGTAGGTGGAGGCCAGGTGGGGCCCCAACTCCACACTTCCTCCCCAGGAAGGCATAGCTCCCCTACCCCAAAACACCCCCAAGAGCCCCCGGAGGAGCCAGTGAAAGGTCCTGATTTGCAGGAGGGAGGAAATGATCGGCGGGTTTGGCCAAAGATGGCACCCGCAGCCCCCTCCCAACTGGAGAGCACCCGGGAGGGAAGGGGCTAGTGGAAAAAGCGTCCCCCGATTTCAAGTTCTAAAGACCCCCCTCTTTGAAGGCGCCCCATCAGCAAAACAGAGGCGTTACTATCGCTTTCTGGGAGCCGCTGGGTTCGCGCTGGCTGCACCCCTAGCTGGCTGGGGAGCGTGACAGCCTCCCCCGCAGGCCTCTCTGCTGAAAGCCAGATGTTCTCCCAGCAGCTGGCGGTAGCGACCCCTTCTTGGGAACTTCCCTCCCCGCACCGCTAGGGCCTCCTAGCCTGTGGCTGCTGTTTGGTCCAAAAAAAAAAAGAAAAGAAAGAAAGAGAGAAAAGAAAAGAAAAGAAAAGAAAAGAAAAGAAAAGAAAAGAAAAGAAAGAAAGAAAAGAAAGAAAGAAAGAAAGAAAGAAAAAGAAAAAGAAAAAGAAAAAGAAAAGGAAAGAAAAGAAAAGAAATTTGATGGAGAGAGGGCCAGAGAGAATTAAGAACGCGTGTGCACGCTAATGGAGGGGCTGCGCGAGCCACTGCGGGTGGACACGCGGCTGGCTGTGCGTGGGCAAATGCGCAGCGTAGGGGTGCGTGCACTTAACGGAAAGCGTGTCCTCTGCGGTGGGCAGGCCTGTGCGTTGGTGCGAGGGTTGGGGCGCCCGAGCTGTGCGAGGGGTGTTGGATGCCCAGATGTACCGGAGGCGGTGCGGGATGCTCAGGGTACCAGTGGCCTGTGGATGTCTGCCGGGCTGAGTTCAGCGGGGGTGGGTCTGCCTGTGCGCGCCCACCTGCGCGGAGATACAACCACACACAACGTGGTCACGTCCCCCACGCCCTTCCCCTGGGCCGGGGAGCTGGGCGGAGACGCAGCACGAAGGGGACTCTCTCCTCTCCTGCGAGCGCCACTCGGCCTGGGAAGGCGGCGACCGCGGGGCACGCTACGCCTGCGAGCCCCCAGCTCCTCGCACGGAGGTGCCAGGCGCCCCGAAGGCGACGAGGAGGCGTCTACGGCCGAGGCTGAAGGCGTCTGAGCGAGGGGGGTGGGGGGACAGCGGGGGACAAGGAAGCCAGAGGAACCCGAGAGGACGGCGGGCTTTGAAAAGCGCCGCGGGGCGGGCGCACTCCGAGCCCGGCATCTGTCTTTGGCCCCAGCTCCCGCCGAGGCGAGGCATCCAGGCTCCTGGCGACGACCCGCGAAAAAAACACCCCTCACCTCCCTCTCGGCCCAGGGCCCCGGCTGGAGAGGCTGGGCTCGGCGCCCCGCAGTCAGCGCGCGAACAGCACTCACCTGGGTCCTCGCTTGCCGTGTGCTGCGCCCAGCTCCTGCGTGGTCCCAGGCTCGGCGCCACTGTTCCCCACCCCCCCCCTTCCGCCCCCGGCCGCCCCCACCAGCCCCAGCCCCAGCCCCCACCCCGGGACTGCGAGGGACAGCGTGCGTGCGAGCCCCGTGCGGCGGACAGCCTGGCGCGAGAGGGCCGCCAGGGCCTGTGCTCCCCGCCCGCGCGCAGGCTGCCTTCCGGAACCTGGCCTGGCGCGCAGTGTCAGAGGCCCCGTGGCGGCGGCAGGCCGACCCACAGGGGCATTAGGCCAACTCCCCCCCGCGCACGCGGAATTCTCTATTATTATTAAAGAATCCCCCAGAACGTGTTTACGTTGAGCCGTATAAACTTCCTGCCAGGGCCTTTACCATCTACAAGAAATCGGAACCTGTTCTTGGAAAGCGGGGAACACCGACGCTGCGGGGCCAACCAGGCGGATTTTCAGTGTGTGCGTGTGTGGCAGGGGGTCCCCTAGGAATAGCGTGTGGGTTCAGACTGGAACGTGGCTAACGTACGCGTGAGCGAGAGTAGGTGCGAATTTCAAGCCCCGTGGGCTTGGTGTGTGTGCGCGCGCGAGCGAGCGCGTTACTTGGGCGCGCACATGCCTGAGCAAGGTGTGCGTGAGTGGGCACTCACGAATGGGTGTGAGTTTGCACGTCCGGAATCCTCATTTCCAGGGTTTGCACGTGCACCAGTGTACGCACGCGTGTGCCTGAGTGCGTGGATGAGACACGAGCGGGGCCGCTTTTTCCGGAAAGCCTGTGCGGTTTCGGTCCCCGCAGGCCCGGCAGCTCTCACTCGCTCCGGCCGGCCGGGCCCGCGGCGCCCGAGACAAAGCGGCCGCGACCCGCCCTGCGCTTTCGTTTTCCGCCCGCGCTCGGCTCCCGCGGCTGCCCGCCTGCTCGCGCGCTTCTGGGCGAGTCCAAAAAGTCCCGGGCGCAGCGCAGTCCTTCCCGGGGCGGGGAGAGCGGGTAGGCGGGCCCTCACGGGAACGGACGCCCGCTGGCCGCGGGGACCCGTGGCCGAGCCGGCTGCGTCCGCGGTGGCCACGGCCTGCTGCCCGCTGCTGCCGCCGCCGCCTCAGTCTGCGATCTGCCGCCGGGCCGTACCCGTCGGGAAAGGCCCTGGGTGCCCGCGCCTCGGGGCCGGGAAGGCGGGGGTGGGGTAGGGGTGGGGTGGGGGTG